TTTTTTTTTAATGGCAAAAGGGGAGAAGGTGAGTTCCAAGATTGGCCTGATACAGATTCATAGACTTTATGGAGCTGGAAGAGAACATTCAAAATGGTTCAGCTGCTCATGCTAAAAATCAGAAAATCAAGAACTGGCTGGAGTGCTTCAGTTGATTTGGTCAAAGCCACACAAATGCTCCTGTCCTCTGAACTGCCAATTCTGGATCCCTAAGGACCTACTTGGTTGCAAACAGAAAAGGGTAAGCTGAGCATGTGGTGAATGCCCGTACTTCCCAGCTACTTGGGAAGGTGAGGCAGGAGAATCCCAAGTTCAAGGCCATCCTGGGTAACTTAGCAAGACTCTGTCTCAAAATTTTAAAGTAAAAAATGAATTTAAAAGAGCTAAAGACGTAGCTCAGTGGTGCAGAATGCCTACCTAGCATGTTTGAAGTCCTGGATTCAATTCCCAGTACCAGAAAAAAGAAACCAGTGAAAAGTTCACAGGTAGGGCTGGATCTGGGCCTCAGCAATTCATCAGAACAAACTCTTGCTTTCTAGTCAGGCTTATCAGTTGTTCCCGTCTTCCCAGTACTGAGAGATTCCTAGGATGTGGCACTTCATGTTTTCACATCGGGACAATACCAGTTGGACAATTTGGTCAACCTGGTCTACATCTTCATCTGTGCTATTCTCTGGGTTAGCTCCACTTAGGTTCTTCCCTCGCAAAGGCAAGGTGGCTGCCCAAACTTCAAAGTTGTGGCCTGCCAGCCACTCCCACCAAACAAGTTTCATAGTCTCATCAGCAGATGCTGTAAGACTCTGCTTGGCCTGATTTGGGTCACGAGCCCTGAATACCTTGCTCACTGTACCCAAGAGGGCGATTGGCCAGACTTGTGCTCAGCCCTCTGTCATGGCTGTGTCTTGATGCTCCCCAAAGCCTCATGTGGTCATAGGTGGGACTTTTCAGAGGTGGCGGATCTAGGGCGTGTGTCGCTGGGATTGATTCATGGTGCAATGCTAGGATCAAGGGCACTAGGATTCAGGCCATGAGTGCTACCCTGCATAGTATTCTGGATAAGATGTAAGGGACAGAAAGAGCTGTGGTCCTCCCCTGCTTGCTTCGCTACCTTCTGCCACCATGCATTGTTTCTCCTCTGCAAGGCCTATCTTCCATCCACCCTGCCTTGGAACCAGCTGATTATGGACTGAAACCTCTACAAACTGTGAGCTAAATAAACTTTTCCTCCTTCAATTTGTGGATGTTGGGTATTTTGTCTCAGCAATAAAAAAAGTAACTAAGACACCTTCCTAGAACTTCTAGAAAAATGAAACCTGAAACCCACACACTGGTCACCATTACCACTCAATCATTGTAATTTGGTCCCCATGTGTGATGTCAGAACTGTATTACTAGGAATATAAAATCTACATCTATATGTCATATACATGAGAGAAGATATATGTAACCATATGGCAAGGTGGCAATACTGGCCCAGTAAGCAACTGACAACGAGAATGACCACACTTACTTCTCAAGGCCACAGAAGATACCTTTGGAGCACCACCTTGCCTGACCCTCAGCAAACATGTCTGTGGACACAGCTCTGCCCTCTGGTAGGCTGTGAGCTCATTTTATTCGTGAGTAAGTCTGCAGCACTTGCTACTGGCAATGAGCATAGTACACTCTAGTAAAATCAAGTGTGACTTTACATATCACCAACCTCCTGTTGGCCCATCTTCCTTCTCTTTGGTTCTTGAAAATAGAGAAGAAAAATAAAGCAACACTTGATATTGATCACCTGATGTCCATCAATCCCAGAAGCTCACAGTTGCCAGTCCTTCATGTCCTATCTTATATCTGTAATTCCTTGCACCAGGAAGCTGGTTTTGTCACATACGACCCACTAATGATGGATGCCACTTAAACAAGCTTCCCGCATCACCACGTGGAGACTTTGTACTCTGAAACCATACTCTGGTCCAAGTTTTCTCTTGCTTAATGGCTCATGATACAGCATTACCCCCCAGCGCCGGTTAAGCACAGACAATGGAATGCCCATCCACAAGGAGGCCATGCCCTGGAATCAACACGCCTGGGATGTGGAGTCCCATACGATGGGAGAGCTCACCCGGGCCCCTCAGAGGTTTCATGAGCCTCAGCAAGTCTGCACAGTAGCCCTGACTTACTTCCAGCTCATCTCCTGTACGCTCTCATGCAGCCTCTGCTCTGGCCAAACAGTTCCACACTTTTTTCCAGAAACCACGGAATCGGGCTCATCTTTTAGACATTACTTTTTCCAGGAAAGGCTCCATGGTTTCCCCATAACACAGCCAATGCCTCCTTCCCCGCATCCCTTATTGTCTGCACCAGTAGACAAGCACAGTCTCTAACACCCATAAGGAAACCTCCCGTGTGCCCACTAAACCACAGACACCTCAATTAAAACTCAGAACAACTCCAGAAAGTAGATTTCTACACCAACAATTGCCACAACTTCAGAGATACCTGGTAAGTGGTGGGTTTGGTTACTTGTTTGAAGAAGATTCCATGGCTTTTTTAAAATTTTATTTTTATTTTTGAAAGGTTTTTGGTATATGTACTAATATTGTTTTTGTTTTTTTTTCTGCTTTAGTCTTATATTTCTAATACCCAGTGCTGGCAATAGCAAGCATTCAGCAAGTGCTTGTTAAATGAATGAATGTTAATATTGTGTTTACACATGAGAATACTGAAAAACAGATAGATACTGGACTTGTACATAGTCACAGAGCTAGTCAGCATCGCTGGGAGTCACACACAGGTCCTCACACAATGCCCATTCCACGCCTGGCAGGCAAGGGCCACATCTCACTCATCTGTCACTCAATGGCAGGGACTTTGTGCAGTCTCAAATAAAGATTGAAGAAGGAAGCATGAGTATTGGATACTGCAAATCCCAAAGGATTGTAATTTGATGACAATCAGTTAAAAAAAGATAGAGTAACAAGTACTACCACCCCTGTAGAAATCTTCTCCATTATGACTTGGGCATTTTTGCCCTGAGTGTTCTGGGGGAAAGTACTGTACATATGCTCCAGTTTCTTAAGTAAAATGGACTTCCAAAATAGCTCCTCTTCATTATTTTGTGTTATTCCTAGAATAACTTTCTTTTGGAAGTCTGCATATAAATCAGATGTCTATGGAGCAAGTTAATTTAAACAGCATAAGGATGCTTGCTTTTTCAAAAAGCACAACTACATATCCTTGGGGAAGCTGAAACTACTTCAATGAGATGAAATCAGTCCCAATTTGCATCACATAGGGCCCAGCAGGTTACAAAACTCTGCTTAGATGGTTACATTAAGAGGTGTGGCTAGGGCTAAAGGGACCCACCAAAGACTGGAAGATGCAGGTCAGGAGGGGCAAGAGGAGGAAAGTGACCTCCCAGATCCAATGGGCCAAGAAGCTGCACGGCAACCAGTTTTCCTGGAACCATAATTATTAAACATGGGAGGGCTCTGGGAATGTTTTTGTCACCACCTTTGGACAGCAGGAACCTAATTTCCTTTGATTAAGATCAATCACTCTAATCAACACAGTACCTTTCCCCCTGATGCAGCTCCATGCAAAGAAAAGAGTGGCTAGGGGACCATGTCTGTGTTCCTTCCCAGGCCCCCAAATGTCCCCAACCCAAGGTCGCAAGGCTGGGAGCCCCAAGATGCTGTGAGTAGGTGGTTAAGTGTGACTTCTGAAAGTGGGAGGGACCACTCCACCTGCCTGCCTGGCTCCGAGGCTGTGCATTCTGGATCTAGGGAAATTACCCCCTTTACCACACTCTGTGACAGCACCCCAAGTCCCCGATGTTTCCTACCTGGCCACTCCATGGTTCTATAAAGTTTCTGCATAATGTTTGACTCAGTTAATTTTGTCAGCAAGAAGTAAATCACATGACTCCCAGTGAGTCTCTGGCTAGTTAAAGGTGATGTGAAGGTCAGGGATTTAGCTCAGGGGTTCTGTTGCCTGCCTCACAAGCACAAGGTCCTGAGTTCGATCCACAGTGCCAAAAAATTTTTTTAAATAAAGGTGATATGGTGCAGGAACCAGACAAGCAAGGCCCCTCCAGGCCACATAATGGTGGCTGCATTAACACGGGTCTCTGGTCCCAGTCCTCGATTACACGGAAGAAGGACTTTCTTCCGGCACTGAAGTTTCCCTGTGTGTCCTTTCTCTCCCCTGCTGCCCTTGTGCAAACCTCAGGAGATAGAACGGTATCACAGGAGAGCCCAAGCTTCAAGTGGGAAGTCCTGGATTCAAATCCCAGCTCTGTCATTTGTGAACTGTGTGATTCTGAGCAGCTCATCTAATTCACAGGTCTCTTTGATCTAAACCAGGGATGTTATATCTATCTTGCAGACATTTGGAGTAAGATAAACCAATGTACAAAAAAAAAAATCAGTCATACAACAGACACTCAGTAAATGGGAGTAAACCTCCCTCATGCCTTCAAGCTAAATTCCATATCTGAAACATCATTTTAGAAATTGTTTATAACAAAATACACGCCTTAGGTAAATTTAAACATTTCACCAAACAAACCTTCCCTGGGCTCAGGTTTGCTGCCCTCATACTGTCGGTTTATCAGCAAATTCTGCAGCTCGGAGCTCTTGGGTTCCTCATCTTTGACTGTCACAGTTCAACCTTCTTGTCTGTCTCAACATTTCTAAATCTGCCAGTCTGGTGCAAGGCAGAATCTGTCCTCAGGGCTTATGTTCAGTGCTCTCAGCAGATGATCTCTTCTGGTCAGTCCTAATTCTGACCAATCAACTCCTCTGGTGCATCCAACCCTTGATTCTAGTACACACAAGTGAGTACAAGACAGGTGGGGCCTTACAGGAGTGGAGAGCAAAGGCAGGTTGTGTGTGCCCCAACCCAAATCTCCTACACAGAGGTCAGCACTGCCACCATTACTGCTGCATGCAACAGAAGCCAAGATGCTAAGGCAACCATCCATCTCCTGAAGGAATAGGTTGGGAGCGCAGATGGGAAGTGAGACCCCCAGAGGACCAGGCATAAGGACCATCACAAACCGGGGCAGCCGGCGCCATCCAGGTCCGCTTCCCTTCAGCGAGAGCAGCACCCGTGCCCCTGTATGGAACTGCAACCTCCCCCACCCCCACTCAGGAACAGTCCCATGAGTCACCCTGCCTGGCTGGACCACAGTGGCCCCTTCAGTTTCTGAACTCAGAAGTGGCCTCCAAAGGCCAGAGGTAAATGTCCTAGCCAGATGGTAAAAAGAGAAGAGAAAGCATCTTTCCCACCACAGGCTCATTCACTCATGGATTTTAGGGAATTTCATTTTTTGCTTGTTTGTTATAAATTGTTTGTAGTAAGAAATAGTACAAAATATATTCTGATATTTTGAGGACATCTGAGAGTGGACCGTGGACAGGACTGTGTCCGGAGGTCTGTGAGCCCTGGCAGAGAAAGCCTGATTCAGGATGGGTCCGACAGCTAAGGGCAGGAAGAACAGTGTTGTGCCAAGCGGAGCTCTTGCTCTTCCTCCAGGCAGGCCTGGGCAGTGAAGGAGAATACTTCCAGCATCACTGTAATCGCGCGCAGGGAACGGAAGTGCAGAATTTGATCTCTTCCTGGCCCTGAAAGCACTGAGAGTGAAGCATCACTCAGAACAATCAGCCTCTATCTAGTCCCCAGCCCTCACCCCACCATTCACATTTCTTTCCCTAAACCAGAACCCTGACCATCCTCCTCCCTTACATCCCTCAATCCTGCACCAGTATGTCTCCAGGCGGTTCCATCTGCCCGTGGCTGCCCTGGCGCTGTGCTCTTCAGCTCTGCCCAAGGACTCCTCCTGCCTGTGCTTCCATCCATCCATCCCTCCAGAGCACCTGCCTGCAGCATGCCTACCGCCTCCTGTCCCTCTCTCACAGCTCTCCAGGGCTCAGTCCCTCCAGGTCAGGTCCAGGCTTCCTGTCTGGCACACAGCCCTGCTGATTCTCACCACCGGCTGTCCCAGTCCCCTGCCTCACAGCCTGTCCATCAATGCCAGGCAGTTCCTGTCCATCCTGTCTGCTCTACCCTGGACTCCCACTCTTCCCATCCTCACCCCCAGCTGCCTGACAGGTTCCTACCACCTTGGCCCGGCAGGCCTAGCTCAAAAGCAGCTCCTGGATATTGCTCGGCCTGCTCCGGGGGCCCCCTCTTGTCACAGGTATAAGGCAGATGCACTTACTTGCTCTCTCCTGTGGCCAACAATCACCCTGCAGGTCTGTGTTCCTCTCTGCAGTCTCAGAGCTACTTGGAACACTGCCGGGAGCAGAGTGGTAAGGGTGAGGGGCATCCCTGCTGAACAATGAACGATGATGCTGAATGAGAAATTTTACTACCTGCAAGTGGTCAAAGACAGGACTAAAGAGATGCTCTCCTTTTGCTCAGCTAACAGGTAAGAGGAAAGTATCTAACTTATGAACCATCCAATATACAACATGAAGGCATTTAGCAAAAGCCTTCATGGAATACCATTTTGAGAAAAGCAGATGTTTAAATACTAAACTATTTCTTAAATTACTATCAACAGTAAAGCCTGGAAGAAAATATTATGTCCTTTAAGGGACTGAATCTCTCAGGCAGCAGTCAGGATGGAAAAGAAGATGAACATTCTGTACCTCTCTTTAAATTGTTTTCTTCTTCCTGAAGTGAACATACTGTTGTGTAAAAGAAGTCATGGGCCCATTTTCTTTTTATTTTTGTTGAATCATCTGAGAGAGGCAGTTCTCGGGCCACTGTTGCCTGGCTACCCTGGGAGGTTCAGCTCCACGGACACTGAAATCTGAAATGTGCCAGGCATTAGGAGCCGTCAGAGCATATCTACAGACTGCAGCCTTCTGTGAGTAAAATCCAACAGTCCAACAGGCAGAGACACACAAACCAGCCAGGAGAAAGCGTGAGAGAGAATTGTGTTCTTCTATTACCCAGTGAAAAACTGTGATTGCTGTTATGATTATCCTTCGATGACATCAGAATCCATACAATCATCTCTGTAACACAAGTATTGTATAAACACAAAAGCAGAGCACCAAACAGGTCAAATGACTTCTCCAGGGCTTGATAGGTCAGGTGCTGACTCACACGAGGAAACATACTTCTCATGATCACAAAAGGCTTCTCTGATTACCAGTGTGAGCCACGCAAAACGGGCGGGGATGAAAATTGTCAAAAACGGCAGGTGGCAGATCTGATTGGCCCTGAATCTTACCATTGGGTAAGCACATATGGGCACCCAAGTTTTCAGATGTGAGGTTCCACTAGGCTCCTGCTGGCTGGCCTTTGAAGACCAACCTCATTGAGCCCTGTATCTGGTATTGTTCCTGTGCTCTTGGATCAAACTCTTTGACGAGAAGCGCTGATAAAACCCTGCCCCCGGAATGTGTAAATCAGGGAATTTGGACTTTAATCCACAACTGACATTTCTCAGCTGGTCCGTAGTAACTGACGGGATACTCTTGCCCTCCTGCTTCGCCTCAAGGTGCCCAGCACTAGGATGGCTGGTCTATTCTTGGGGCCCTAGCAGCTCTCAGGGTAAAGGTCAGCTCTCGGTCTGCTCTGACTTTTAAGCTGGGCTGAGAGGACACTGCTGCCATGCCTGAGCTTCTCTCTTCATCTGTAACACGGAAATTAGAAACTACCCATCTTGCAAAACTGCATGAATATTATTACTAGTAAGTGGGTAAGACACCAAACATGCCAGGTGGATTTCAGCCCAAGCTCTGTTGCATATGTGAAATCTCAGGCCCGACGTGCTGCTCAGCCACTCACGAGCACTTGAGGGATGGACAGATAGCCTGGTTTTAACCAACTTCAGGCTTTCATTTTGTATTGAAAGCTGTGCATCCATAAGAAATTTCACATCCTTATTTTAAAACCTGTAGTCTGCTTAAGACACTGGAAGTTTGGCTTTCCATTGGTATAAATGTCGCAGTTTCATTCCGTTTCCTCCAACTACACAAAAGTTAGCAGCTTTGTCTCGAAATCCTTTTTGCTACTTGCTAAAGAAAACTGAGCAATTGGTCTATGAAAGAAAGAGTATTACAGCAAAATGCCCTTGACTATCTCTCAGAAAAAGAGCCAGACCCACACTTGAGGAAAGCCAAATAGTTCTCATTAAAGTAATGAGCATATTTTCAGTGACATGTGTCTGACCGCCTTCAGTTCGTGGGACTGTGGCAGCCAGAGACCCAAAAATATAATGCACAGCTGCAGTTCCTGCTATAACACACCTCACAGGCTTGTGTCACACTGTTTTGGGTGCCCCACCCTGGACAGATGGGCTGTCGGGTCATATGTAAATTGCCGTGACATCAAACATGCAATCCTGTGACAACACTGACAGGGGGAACTTAGTACTCTGAGTTCCTCAGCACCTCCTGTATGAAATTCACTGTAACTTGAACAGATTTGGCTGATTCCTGTTCCAGCCCACACCACAAGCAAGTTATTCTTAACTCACAACTGCCGCTGATAAGTATTAAAAAAATATAACACTTTCAGAAAGAGAAACCATGAAAAAAACAAAATACCATTGCATTTCAGTGAGAAATAGTCTCCTAGCCAAAGCCATAAACGAGTGTCATTTTGGTTTAAAAGAAACAAAGCCCTTCATATTTATTAAGTTTTCCACAGCCCTTTCCACAGTGTCTCCAAACAGTCCTAGGAGGAGGCCGACAGGCCCAGATCGCACCTCATGAGCCTTTGGAAATGTAGCCTTCCACATTTTCCACAGAATAAAGCCGTTTGCAGTGTTCAAGTGCAACAAATATTAACTAACGATAGCACCATCTTTCCATGTCACACTATCACCACATGGGCCCTTGCCCCATATCTAGAAGTCAGCCAAGTGACTGCGTCCCAAGCACAGCACTTGGGATGTGTGGACCTAACCAAGAAAAGATGGCCTCTTAGGAAGGCTCACAAAAACAATGCCAGCAACTGCTGGTGCTGGCCCCCAGAAGCACTTCACACATCTTTCTCAATAATCCTCTTGACTTCCCTTGAGGTGGGTCCTACTGTATAACTATTCTTGTTTACAGCTGAAGAAAATGCAACCCAGGGAGGCTAGGTAACTAATCCAGCACCACAGCTATTTTAACCCTGGCAACCTGGCTCCAGCCAAAGTTACAGACAGACCTTCTAAGTTCTACTGCATACTTGCGAACCTATGGCATCGTATTGTGTTTTTAAGAAAAAAGATATAAATGCAGAGTTTTTTTTTTCTAAACTAAAACCTCAGTATTTGGGTCTAGTTGCAGAGGGGGCACTGTGCCAAAAGTAGGTGGGTTCTGGTTGCAGTTTGGGCACGCAGTCTCTAAAAGCTTTGCCATCACTGTGCTGTGAGCTTCAGCAGGATGCTTTATTTACCCTTCTGAGCCTAAGTTTCCTCAGCTGCAGGATGGGAATAACAACCCTCAGCTCTGGGTTTGTACGTGGCACCTGCCATCAGTGAGCTTTCTCAGGAAGAGGCTTCTTGCCCAAGTTGCCGCCTGCCATCCACCCTTCCTCCTCACCTCAGCAGTGGTGCAGGCGCTCTGTCAGACACTGCAGCTGGGAGCTACGCCTTCCTCCTTCCCACCCTGCGTTCTTAGAAGCAGCATGCTGTCAACAGAGGAGCTGGGATGACCACCTCAGGCAGCTCACGCCTGCTGTCCCGCACACTCTGCTAGGCGCTGTAACCACCAAAGAACTAAGACCCAGTCCTAGGCGACCCTAGGTCCTATCGCATAAGTAGGAAATCAAACACCCTGCGTCAATCTGGGCAGTGGATCAGGAGCTGCGCTGGACCAGCTAAGAGGGACCCACACCACCAGCCAGCGCCAGGTCCTCAGTGACCTCAAATCTCTGTGCCCCTCAGCCCCTGCATCATCAGCCTGAAGCAGGAGCCTGCAGGCTCTGTCTTTGGTGACTCCCGTGCCCAGCCATGAAGCTGCCAATCACGGGTCTCTACAGTCACCCCACACCTGGTGTGATGGTGAGCTCCGCCAGCACCTTCTTTAACATGAGGTGTCCTAGCAGAAACCACGTGTTCAGAAAATGTCAGCTCTTGATGGTAGAGGAAATCTAAAGCAGTCAATAACATTTTAGAAGACACCACAGTTAAAATAGTCATAGAGTTGGGGATTTAGTTCAGTGATCCCACCACCTGCCTCGAGTTCAATACCCAGTACAAAAAAAAAAAAAAAAAAAAGCCACAATTTGTTGTTGTTGCCTTGTAATGAATATGAAGCCCAGCCCCTTTTTAATTTTTTGTTTTGAGACAGGATCTCCCTGTCATTTAAGTTTCCCAGGCTGGTTCCTACTTGTGATCCTCCTGCCTCAGCCTCCCAGAGTGCTGAGATTATAGGCATGGCCCATCATGCCCAATTGGAATGTAGACATCTTTTTTTTTTTCTTTTTCTTTATTGGTACATTTTAGGTATGCAGTACAGTTACATTCACTGTTGGGATCTTGGACCTTTACATGACAGGTCTTGGTTCTCATTCTTTTCCCCATTCTCCTGCCCTCCCTTCATCCCCTCCACCCTTCCCTATTTACAGAGACTAGTTTCTATTTTTTTTTCCTTTTCTCTTATTTTTTCTTTTCCCTTCATAGCTTTCCCCTACCCCAGAAGGTACACATCTTTAGGGAGCTATAGTTTCTATTTCAAGTAAATAATTAGTGTACCATCTGACTTTAAATCAAGAGATATACAGTAATAATTTCAGAAGCCAAAATGACAAGGATCAAAAAAATGTGATTTCCTACTTGTTCTTGAATTTTATTTTATTTTTTTTCCAGTGCCAGGGATCAAACTTGGGACCTTGCACTTGTGAGGCAGGCACGGCACCACTGAGATAAATCCCTGGCCCACTGTGCTTGAATTTTAAACAGCAAAAAAACTTTTCACCAACTTTGATCCATTTAACCCCTTGTAGTGGTCCGCTACTGATTGTATAATCATGCTGTGTAACAAAAAGACCAACAGATCTCAGACATTCAACGAAAAACATGAATGTCTCTCTAACACACCTGTGAGGCAACTGGAGCAGTGCTCCATGTGTCACATTCCAGGATACCTGTTACTCAAGACCCTCGAGGAATGCTGGCTTGACGTCCAGGCCAACCAGGCAACACGGACACCATCCTCTCTCCTCACGCCACGTTTGTGGGCACCCCATTCACAAAGCAAGTCTCACCCTGGAAAAGCACACATGGCTCACCAGAGGCCTTGCCCAGGGTGTAGTGGAGGAGCCTGGCTGAGAGCCAGTCTGCTCCACTTCTGAAACTCCAAAAGGCGCCATTGGCACCCTTTTCTGACACTGAGTAAATGGCATCTCCGGAAATGTCCTTCACTCAGGTCGGAGCAGACAGCCAGCTGCTCAAGCAGAATCTGAATCTTCCAGCTCCTGTCGTTTCTAGAGCAACGTGGCTGACCTGTAACTAGCACCTATCTTTAATAATCACTTCCCCTGCAGATATCAATTCTCCCCCAAAGATCAGGCCCAACACTGTCTGCTGTCTCAGCACGACCAGTGTTTAACATTTGTTTGGGGCTTTCTGAAGTGTTTTTACAAGCTATTTTTACTATTACTGCCCTAATAAATTATTTACGGTGGGAAACCTTAATCAGAAAACCCTGGCTACTTGAAATCAGACTTTATTAAAAACATCTCCTTCTCTCTCCAACATAGCCGCATTTAAATCCAGTTTCTCTGTCTGCCCTGAGCCTATAGCAGTGCGAGGGACAGTCACCAAGGGACCTGGGTCAAAGTGTCCTGACAGGGCCCAGCAGGGCCAGGAGCCACCCTGGGGCCACGGCCTCGAGTCTATTCAATGGCCCGCGTAAGAAACCGTTACAGAGGGCGGGCTCAGCCTGGCTGGTAAGAGCACGGCTCTCACGGAATCAGGAATCATGCTGAGCGTTACCAACAAGCAAAATCCAACAGTGCAGTTTCAGGTTGTGACGAGGGCTGGGAAGAAACCCTGGCCGGGACGCAGGCCCTCGATCCCTGTCTCTGCAGACCGAGTGTCGCGGTCGCGGGCCCGCAGCCCGTGCCCCCTCCTCGCCCTCACCAACATGGAACAAAACTTGGCCCGCT